GTCTCTCGTTTCGTTCGTATACACGTCGTCTCTAACTAACGAACTACGTACTAATAACGTATAATATAGAGCTATATATATATATATATATATATATATATATACGTTTTTATATTTCTTGAATGACTATATAATTGTAAGTACTGTTCAACAGTATGTGAAGTCTATGCACTTTTTCTATTATTTTCTCGATGGTAATAACAACCACAAAAGAGCCATGTTGAATCGAAAACTACTTGAGAAAAATAATTTCTATTTTGGCCACTAGATAGAAGCAAAATGAGTATTAATTTTAGTTTCTTGAAAGAACTTTATTTTCGAGCATAGCTACTTAAGGGCTTCCTGCGATAGCCATCTTTTATTTCGAAGTCATACTCGAGAGAAGGCAGCTAGTACACACCACCCATTGCCTACTGTAATAAAATAGTTAAATTTGACCCTCACTCTTATATGGTTCCAAATGAAGCTTGGTCACTAAATAAACTATTATTGTATCATTCAGCACTTAGTACTCCGTTTGATTTTAATAGTTTGACACATTTTTATACCCTTTTAAATATGTTTTCGTATTTCCTTAAATCATTCTATTTGCATTACATTGCACCTCCTCTAACCAACGTATAAGTACTCCGTTCATATTTATAAAGTTAGAAGAGTTTCTGAGATATATCAACGAATCTGTTGACTTTCAGTTTCATTCTCTTCACAACAATACAAACGGAAGGACTGAGAGCATGTTTATTGTTCTTTCAACAATGTGGGAACACCGATTTTGGTGTTTCAAAGTGAGTACCAAATAATACAGGTTTTTTTTTAAAGCCAATGGTCTAAAGAACAATAGAAACGGAAGACCTGAGAGTAACGTTATTGTAAGTCAGTGGTCTACACAACAATACAACCAGAAGGACTGAGAGCAACGTTATTGTTGTTGTTTTTTTCAAGTTAGTGGTCTACTCAACAAGTGATATTCATATGTATAATTATACTTTTCAAACACTTATCAAAAATATGGAAACCACGTTTATCGTTAGGTATCCTATAGTTTGTTCTTTATTTTTGATATCTGGCAACAAAGTGATCATTTCAAGAACTCCGTTATAGGTTGGATCATAGTTGACCATTTTTCCTATACGCCAAAGCAGCATTGTAAATATTACTTTTATTTTTCGAGTAAATTAAGGAGAAACAGAACACAGATGGTTATTGTTGGATTTTCAACTCGAAGCCTTATTCTAGGGCAATCTTTTGAAGTTGTGCGCATGTATTGTTTTTTTTTTGCTTTTGATATTCTAGTACAAAACTGTGTTTGAAATACATGCGTCAAGAAATGAATCATTAACTTAATTATTTGAAATGGCGAGGTTTGATCACATTATTATTCTAATCAAAATATCCTAATCATTTACACACACACACATATATATTGATATATAAGCTAGAAAGTTTAAACATGAGTAATTAAAAACATGAACATGAAGAGACAATGTAATGAGTACGTCTTGGCTCAGAATTTTAATACTAGACTGCATTTTTTTTATTTTGTTTTTACATTGTGGACAGTGCTTCCTATTCGTCTTCTCTCTAATGTTATATAATAACCGAAATTCTTAATCATTCGCAGTAGTATTCAGTTAGGTTGAAGATGCTTAGAGAAAAGACATAACTCTGTGGCCCAAAGTGGATTAAACTTGTTGGAATGGTGATGGTAGGTAATATGACTGCTGCTTTTAAAGATTGATTAGAAAAACTTGGTAGATTTTTTAAATCGCTTACAGAATGAAAAAAAAACAACAAAAAAAACTCGAAAGAATATTATTGGCAAATAATGGTAAGATATTTTATTCACAAGTGATATATCCATAATAGCGACTGTTTCGTTCCCCCTTTTTTTTTCTTCTTAAAAATAGCTGGAATATATTGTATTCCGAAAGGGGGTGACACGCATAATATTATATGTTAGGCTTTTGTAGAAATATACAAGTGCACCTACAAATGTATAAAACGTTACTCAATTATCCACCTTCTGAAGCTCGTTCTTTTAAATTTTATATTCTTGTTTCATGAAGTGGAATGATTTTTGGCGAGCAGTAGAATCTTGAATCGTCTCGTATCAAAGTAAATAATACTATTCATTGAATTTTAAAAATATATTACCGACTACAAAACAATATAAATATGTTTCATTTTCAACGTATTTTATTAGCTTCTTTTTTTCTTCTCATTATAGCTGCAGAAAACGAGTCTCGCAACATTACTGACTTTTACGTATTATTCCGAGCAGACAATTAGTCCCTTTTCCCCGATGGAACAGGAATTGAATTAGTGTTCCGCTGCAGTTTTGTTGAAACCCTACACGTTATAAAAGACGACGGAAATACTAATTTCCTTTTCCGTCTTTAGGCTTCAGAGGCTTATTGTTGGGTCAACAGCAAACCTCCTCACAAATGAAGCCTACCATGTGCTCAACTGAGAAAACATTGTTTTACGTGCGGGAGAACTCCCCCCCCCCCTCTTTGTCCCAGCCTGCGACTCATTTCCGTAGCACGACTCTACTACTTAATTTATTTCAAGTTTAAGAAAATCAGAAGTGTGTAGGAGAGGGTTAAGAGTTTCATTTGTGGGAGATGTTACAGCGTAAAATTACTTGGTATAATCTAGCTGTAATTAAATTTAAATCCCCAGAAGCGTATTCTGATGTGACAGAATTAAGGCTGTGTTGAACTTGCTATTAAAAAAAAGATAGATTTCATCTACATGTTGGTGTACACGATTCAGTAATTGATCATAGAAGAGTAAATTAACCCTGAGGCGGCTGCCACGGAAATAGACTTGTGTTTTACATAAGCCTCGTGTAATCAGTCGTCTTAACTTACATGGAAAGATAATTTATTTTAAAGCGATGTTTTCACTGTTTTAATTTAAACTAAGGTTGTATGCACTTTAATAAATCGTGGAAATTATCCCTAGTAATTTGTTTGTTTGTTTGAAGTTAAGCACAAAGCTACACAATGGGCTATCTGTGCTCTGCCCACCACGGGTATCGAAACCCGGTTTCTAGCGTTGTAAGTCCGCAGACATACTGCTGTGCCACTGGAAGCCTAGTAATTTGTAACAGTTACTTTTCACCAGTACTTTTGTATGCGTGATTTACTCTACATTTACTTAAAACTAGAGCAAACTTAACTTTCAAAGATGTATTTGTGATCGGTATTTATTACGTTAGCTATCAACACACCAATTGCGTCATTTCTGAATGGCTAATATACAATACAAAAACATCGGCGATATTATGCTTATCTCTTGTTCTCTTTTGTGTGTTTGTTTGTTTATAATTAAACACACAAAAACAAATAATGCGGTTTAATGAAATTAAAGACTTTCAAATTCGCCCTGTATGTGGAATTGACAATTTTAATTTTAATTCTATCTATTATTTTTCAGCGTCGTATTTTAAGAGATTTTCGCCCACGTGAAGTTTTGTTTTCTTGTATAATATTGCAGATCGGCAGTGAAACTGGAATTGCAGGCGTTTTCTGACAAGGGCGGTCGATATACGAGGAAAACCAGCCGCAGCTAATACCGGGGAGTGTCAACGCATGGCTGTATTCGCCATCCGCTTTCGATCGATGGCAACCTGAAGTGACACCAAGTCGGCAAGAAGTGAGTTTGTGGCAAAATATTTTGCAGTCCAACAAAGAGCGACCTGTTGATACCCGAACTTACTAGTTCTGCTAAAGTTTAGAAAAAAAAATAAGTCTTTGCATTTCATCGTAATATCGCGAACTAAATTTTAAATGATATGACAGAATAAAAAGATTGATAATAATTTTAATCCATATAGGACAAATAAATAAAGTTGTAATTAAAATTGATATCACTGGTCAATATATTATGCTTTACCATAATAAATACACCATAAATTAAACTTCAAATATATTGTTGTAAAATTATGAAATATCTCATGAATATAAATAAAAAAAAGTAAACTGAATGAAGAATTTAATTAATTTCAAAAATCTTAAACTTTAAGAGAAAAGAAATATCATGCAATTTCATTGTAACTAATAATTATAAAATGATTCTGAATGATATTGAATTATAATTAGTAAAATAAATGTAACAGTGGACTTGCATTTCATTTGCTATTAGCTGTGAACGGTATTTTTATTTTTTAACGCACACGATTTTTTAAATTTATTTCTTTTAATTTCTGGAGGAAATTTATTGCAACAAACAAGCTACAATAAAATAAATATTCTAGCTGAAATTTTCAAAACCCTTTTCCACATTTGCAAAACTCTTTAATTTGCAGTAAATCAGATGTAAAAAGGATTACATTACATTACATTTTTAATCGTTTACAAAATTTGTAATTTTTTTAATCATGAAAAATCTGTTATTCTGTTCTTAACGATCCTTAGCTTTCTCTCCAACAATCCCAGTTCCTTTCTCGACAAAACGTAACTACATCATTACTAATTTGTTTTGTTCTTGTAGTGGCCCAGCATGGCCAGGTGGTTAGGACGCTTGAATTGCAATCTGTGAGTCGCGGGTTCGAATCTCCATCCCACCAAGTGTATTGAAATGTATTACTACAAAGGGGTGTTCACAATCTTAATAAATGGGAGGGGGCACTTTACAGTCTCTTGTTCCACCGCCTGGCATGGCGTAATCTGTGAGTCGCGGGTTCGAATCCCCGTCCCACCAAACATGCTCGCCCTTTTAGCCGTGGGGGCATTATAAAGTGATGGTCAATCCCACTATTCGTTGGTAAAGAGTTTACGGTGGGTGGTAATGACTAGCTGCCTTCCATCTTGTCTTACACTGCTAAATTACGGACGGCTAGCGCAAATAGCTGTGTGTAGCTTTGCGCGAAATTCAAAACATTGTAAGTGTGCCCGAAGGTTCAAGGCTTGTATCCCATTGCTCTCAAAACGGATTCAGCACTTTGAGGGCTTAGAGTTGGTGACTAATCGCATTACTTTTAAACCTATCAGATACCTTATTCGTTGATCTCCGTAAAATTTCTTAAACAAAACCTTATAGCGAAATTTTATTTTTTGTTTTCTTGACGAAATGTAACCATTGTAAACAGTTTTGGCTTTCTCAAAACAATCTACACGGAAGATTGTTAAAACTAAGAAAACTAGAGATTCAAAAAAAAAAAAGCTAATTAAGCTTAGTCAGTGTTAATGCGTTTGGATGTTGGTCATTTGAACTTAATCATTCAATTGAAGGAAACAAAAAACTAAAGGATTGTTAATATGAGCCTAGGGTAAAATTGTTGAGAAATTAATCTAATGGAACGAGAAGCTGCCCCATGTCTTCAACTTCTTTAGCGGTATTAGATACTTCTTTCAAAATTCGTTTAGTTTGTGTTGGTTTTATTCTAGAGCATCAGTCAAGGAAACTTTTAAGTTTCTCTTGCATGGGATTGGAGAATCACCCAAGATGTCTTTTCTGCCCTTTCCCCCATCAAAAAGGATTACTGCAGCATCAGAAACATTATAGGTATTCTTGCCGTAAATATGGCGATTTCTTAAGGGCTTGACATCACCTTAGTGGCTTGAGTGGTCGTCTGTTACGTTGGTAGAGCGTGTTGCATATATTATTATGTTTTTCTTTTTTTTTCTGCTTTTCCAGTGATTGAGTCGAGGCTTAGGACTTGTGGAAACGACATTTTACACAAGTCAAAGATAATATGAGGAAATCTCAAGCACTGAAAAGAGGCAGTTTTTAGAAAGAGTTGCCTAGTCCAGAAGTCCTCTCTTGGATGTTAGACTTTTGCAGATGCTGATAAGGTTCACAATGGCCATCTTACTGTGATTACAGACCAGGGAAGAGTAAATATCAATTTAAACTGGATGAAACAAAATCTGTATATATATATTCCGATAATGTTGAAATGTAATTAAAAAATAACATAATGATAAAATCTTGTCAATTAAAGAAGTAATCAATGTGACTCTTTTTTAATTTTCTTTACTCTATTTTTTATTCTCAGAGAAGCAGAACGAGAACTTACTATCTGTAATATTACTGGTAGTAGTTTATGGAGTATAAATATGTTTTGTTTCTAAAAAAAATTCTAATTGTAATTTCCCTTACGTCATTAGATAAGTTCGGCATAGAGCAAAATAACAGCATTTTTGATTATTCACATCAATGTTTCAAAACATAAGTCTATAAGATTAATCTCATACTTAAACTACAGCTTCATACACGCTGTTGTTTATCTCGGTTCTCTGTGGACTGATGGAGACAGAAAAATGTCCAAGAAAAGAAAATTACTTTAATAAGTCATCCTTTTGTCCTCAAGGAACTTAATCTTTCACAATTAATATTCCCTGAAGGCTATCATGTAAAATACATAAATTACGCGGCTGCTAGTTTTGTTTCTGTTCTTCTGAAAATACTTTATTTCAAACGTAAAGCTGCACATGGGCTATTTGAGCTGGGCTCACTATACGGATCGAACCCTGAATTTTAACGTTATAAGCCCCCCGAAGTTTACAATTAATACACATGGGGCCTGCTGCCAGAGTGGGGATTATTATAAGCAAATTGTAATCCTTTTACTGGCAGAATTAAAAGTTAATAATGTTACCTACATTTCATGGTGACAAAGTGCACTGAAGAAGAAAACCAGAGTTTAAGTACATTCAACATTAGCAAAAGCGTTCTAGTTATTTTTGCTCAAGGGTTAAATAAAAAAAAAATATATACATATATATATATAATTAATAAGTTAATAAATTCTCACATACTAGATGTACTTACGCAGGGTCCCCGAAAGTGTTCTGTTTTAAGAGTAAATAAATCCAAAATTAAAAGTAACAAACATTTTTATTTCTTGCTTTTGAAGTTCATATGCCATGCTGTGTTGCAGCTTAAAGAGTGCATACTTTTTCTCGTACTTCATGGTATGCGAACGTTTTACTTACGTCACGACAGTACAAACTGCTACGTTAAGCGTCTCTTATGTGACGTCATTTTGGTGGTTACTGACTAAATAACAGACAACACACTACTGTATAATGGTGCGATTGTTTAAAACAGGTAATCCCTCCAGGCGAACTTTGGCCCCTTATGTAGAAAATTAAGTTTAATAAGTTCGAAAATATTTTTTTTTCTTCATCTGGTTGTTTTCTAAAATGAGTGTAATATTTTTTGTTTCATGATAATTGATGGATTAGATCAGCTTCTTCAATAACTGAAGAATCGAGCTGAAATGACGTGGGCAGTGAAAACAAACTTAATTAAACTGCACACAGACAGCCATGATCCTCAAAAAATTCTTGATAACGAGCTCCAATACAAAAGCAATTTTCTTCAAAGATATTTTAATGACATCCTATAATATTGAGCGTAAACATATTTATTATTTGATATGTAGTTTTTGGAGTATAAGAAGGCCCTTAAGAAAACATATTGTAGCATCGTTAATTTCTCGCTTTGATCCTTACCATTAAGTACAGTCATGGAGAAAATGTTTGTGTGGTTAAGCCTTTATGAATGACACTATTTATGGCAAATTTTATTCGATTGTTGGAGAAAATTAATCGCTCAGAAGGAAATCCTGCGAAGGGCAGGATTTAAAAAATTCACATTTTTAATATTTAATACTTTCCATAAAGTAACAAATCAAACCTGAAGTTGAATAACCTAGTTCTCTACATAGATCAACATATAAAAGCAATGTTGAAATAAATTTTCTATATATATTTGTCTATACTCTATGTAAACTGAGAAAGTTGCTTTCGTTATTATTATTATTTTTTTTTGTCGTTTATATAAATTCTTATCTGTAAAAATAACTAGTGGTACTGGTTTCAATAAGAAATTTTACTCTGGTCTTCGTTCAATTTCGACTCTCACCATATCTTTTAAGTTACCCGAAAATCGCCCAACAAAGTAGCAAATCCTGTCAAGCTATTGAATGAAACGATTATATACTTTTATCTGATTGGCCAGCTTCAGTTAACGGTTTTATAAAGAGAATTGATTGTATATACACACGCAAGTTGATACGTTGTTGTCATATCTTCAGCAATCTGTACGTGAAAGAAGACAGAAAGCTTTCACCATTCTCCGGTTCTAATCCTTTTAAGGAATTACATAGACTGACGAGGAAATGAATTTCTGGAGCGTACTAGTCCACAGAAAACAACTGTCATGTAACATTTTCCTCATTTTTTTACATTCTAGACGCTATATAACATTGCACTGAATACAATATAACTATGTTTATCCATAAGGATGACACAGATTTTACTTCGAAAGAAAAAGGATATCTTCTCCGCTAACTCACAACTGAAAAATGTATTTACAAGTCACACAATTTCATGCTAGACAATATTTTTATATCACTGCCTAATTTTTATTAAAAAAAAGTTTCTAGTAAGAAGATTATAGAATAATAAGACAGGGGTTGAAAACTTATTGAAAAAGTAGTCGCTCTTCATTGACTGAATGACCGGAATGTAACATCTTATCCAAATTTTAAAAAAATCATGTTTATGCTCAAGCAAGTACCACGAACCGTGAAGTAATAATGTTCTAGTGAATACACACACACACACACACATATATATACACACACATGCACTTAAGGACGACGGCAAGGAATGGTAGCGGAGGCGTAGTTTTGAATTTCAGTGTTATTGTGTTGTTTCTGGTTTAAGTTAATTGTTGTTTTATGGTTATGAACAATTAATGTATTCCATATCATTGTATTTATTGATACATACATATATATATATATATATATATATTCTTAG